GCTCAGAGTTAATTGCTTGCGGCTCGAGTAAATGAACATGTCCTGGAATGGTTTGACTGTTACCGTGTTAAAAACTTTTCGCAAACTGGACCGCTAATAAGAGAGAAAGCGAGTTCCATCACGCTAACTATGGGCATTGAATACTTCGAAGCGTCCTGTGGCTGGGTTAAAAAGTTCGAAGCACGACATCAGCTGAGCAACGCTTTCTTGTGTGGTGATCGAGGGGAGGTCGAGTTCGAGACAGTGAGTGAGTGGAAAGAAAGCCACCAGGTCTTTTACTCGTCTCATTTTGGAGCAAATAGTCCTACCTTTGTTATATTTTCTCATATACTGTACCTGTACTGTATGCCGCAGTTTTTGGACAATATATTGTTGCACTTTGTTGCTTGTGTTGTCACCAATGTATGTTGTTAACATACCGTACTTGGACGTTCATACCGGACATATACCATAGTTATCTCACTGTTCTCATGAAAAAAAGTATGGTAATACTTGAATGCTTTTGTTCTGTTGATGTTTGGTATGGACTGTCAACATATACGTTTTTTTTATATGTACCATATCTTGTGCTGACCCGGCCCACCTGTCAAATTTAGAAATCAATATGGCCCCCGAGCTAAAAAGTTTGCCCACCCCTGGTGTAGGTGGTGGAGTAAAAACAAGTAATAATTTCTTTAAGGGCTCACAGATGTTCATGCAGTATCCTGTTTGTGTACTTTTCTGCACTCTCCATTTGAAATAATTTCCTGCTTGTTGATAATGGGATGGACATTTAAAAATGGTTTTCAATCCAATTGAGCAATTAATTGGGAAAAAAATGGGGGGAATGAATCGATTATTGAAATAATCATGAATTGCAGCCCGAGGACAGACACACATGCATACCTGGCATTTCTGTTGTTAGTGTCATCTTCGCCATCGTCATCACTTCTCTTGGACCGCAAGCTTCCATCAATGCCACGTTTTCTGCATTGAGACCACCGTGATGGGCCATGAGACCTATAAAGTGGAGAGAGGGGGGAAGACTTGGGATCAACAAAATGCATTTACACGGCAATAGTATGTACATTTCTAGTCCATAGAACAGGGGTGTCAAACGTACGGCCCGCGGGCCGGATCCGGCCCGCAAAGGACTTTAATCCGGCCCGCGAGATGATTATGTAAAGCAGTGGTGTCAAACATACGGTCCGCGGGCCGTTCAATCAGGCCCCACAGGATAATTTAAAAGTGAAGAAAATGCATAAAAGACACAGAATAAATATTTTAATAAGGTGCAATTCATTGAGTATCCGCTAGGGCAGGGGTCCCCAACCTTTTTTGCCCCACGGACCGGTTTAAGTCAGACAATATTTTCAGGGACCGGCATTTAAGGTGTGGCGGATTAATACAACAAAATAATATGGTATGAGCTGCATGAAAACTGTGGTGTTTTCGAAATATAATAATAAACACAAGGAGCGTCTAATCTGGTCGCAACACTCTTATCGCTCTGGTAATGTTTAATGCCTTCAAAAATACGATACAACGCAAATTCAAAGTGCATGAAAATGACGACTCACCACAGCCCCGAGCTTGATTTTCTGTAATCAGACAGTCCCATCTCGGGGTAATAGGAGACAATGACACCTCAAGTGTGTGGTTTATGTCCAGTCTACTTCGTAATTTTGTTTTAGTCGCTGTTGCTGCAGAAACTCCCCACCTCACACAGGTAGGATGT